AACAATGACGGTAACACCATCGCGTGTCCGCTTGTTTATGTTCCTCATAAACCTTTCACAATAAAGCTCAAGATCCTGTTGAGACTTTTCAAAATAAACTGAATCACGTGAAAGAGCAGATTATTTACGGATGAGAAGTAAAAAGAGCCACCAGGTGCTAAAAAATAAACCTTAGACTCAAACATTAGAACAGGCTTTTCCCCGCAGCACGCCGTGTAATAAATACTCACAAAGGAAACGGCGGCCGTTACAACTTATGTCTAAAAATGTGTAGTTTCATGCATCGTCAAGTCGAGCTGCCCGAGATTCACAGAATTTACAGAAAATGTTACATTTTTGTGATTTATATCGTTATTGGGACAATAGATGTCTTAAATCGGGATATGAGATTTTGGTCATATCGCACAGCCCTATGCTCCATATGTTTACACACCAGAAGGTGAGTTCATATTTTACCCTGAACCACGACCTTATTCTGAAACTGTCCCATTGCCACCTCTTGGTCACCTTGTTTTTACATTAAGCCGTCCCAGCATGTCATCACATGCCAGTCTTCACCTGTTTATGTTTTCGGTGTTGGAGTTTGAGATTCTTTTGAAGACTGAGGTCACAGATAATCACTCACAGTGCTCCAAAAAGTGCACATGAGGTGTGAGCGTGCTCAGACGTGTCCACCTGTCTTTACTTCCTGTCATCGTCCTGACTCTGTGTGTGGTTTGTCGTTGCACAGCCCTCCAGCAGCAGAGACCTATAATTCCCTGCGAGGGCACAACGCTGGGCGACCTGCAGCGCCTCTTGCTGGAGAGGAGGGGGCGGGTCCTGTCGGCGCTTGAGGACCAGAATATCGCCACCCACCTGATCCGCCACACCCTTGGCGACGACGGGTATGGAGCGGTAGCTCCAAATCGTCTCGCCAAGATGCTGAGTCTGCCTGTGGATCTGGCCCGAAGGTACCGTGATGACATCACTATCACCATCATTCACCTGAATGAGATCTAACACCTGCAGGTGATTACCTGCTTGGTAGTCACCCCGCTGACCAATCAGCAGCAGGCGTGCTCATTCCAGCGCTGATCTTCATCCTTTTCCTTAACCGTATCCCAGCTCTGAATGGTCGAGGGGTGGGACACACCTGGACAGGTCACTGATCAGGTGTTTCTGTTATTTTGTCTGCCTTCAAGAAGACCAGAACTCGACACACACACAGGTCTGAGAAAAGCTCCACGAACGACACCGGAGCTAACCTCACTTTTCAAACATCGCTCTTCAGGTGTGGAGCAACACAGTGAGCATGCTCAGTGAGTTGATGTTCCGCACTTGGAGTGGAGAAGTGGCGCCACCTCCTGGTGGCACACTGAAAACACCTATCTCGCCTGAGGCTACGTCCACGTCCACACGTACCCGGGTGTTTTTGAAAAATTTTCTATGCGTTTGCACTTTTCGTCCACACGTAAACAGCGTTTTCAGTGACTGAAAACTGAGATTTTTAAAAACTCCGGCCAGGGTGGATAATTTCGAAAACTCCGTTTTTGCGTTTACGTGTGGACGACAAAAACGGAGAAAACGCAGAAAACGCAGCGTCAAAGGTGTGCGCCTTTTTTGACGTCACACTGTGCGTCACGTTATTGTTTCGGTGAAATGAATTTCTACAATACTGTTAATTGTACTCTCTGCAGTGTTTAAATGCTTACATACACACAGTTACTGTCCGTCCACACATACGACTCTGTTCTGCTTGTCAGTACCCGATCTGTACCACGCTTGTGTGAAAGGTGTCTACTTCCAGTCGAAGTATTTTACGATAGTTACAGGTCAGAGTATCTGTTAAGATGTTAAGAAAAACAAGTATCTCTTAAAATGTTTCCGATAATGAAGCATTTAATATATTGTAGACAAAAACAAAAAAATAAAAAGATAGTTACGGATCAGGACTCCCCGATCCTTACTGCGCATGTGCAGATGTTTTCTTCTTCTTCTGTTCGTTTAATGGAGGTTAACACCCCAGTGTACGAGGACACTGTCACCTGCTGACTGAGCGAATGAACCGTATTGTAAACTGAATTAGCGTCATCACAAACGTGTGTTTAATTTGATTTATTGATAGTCGAGTGTGTTTATGCTTGTCTGTGTGGAGAGGATTGTTGGAATAGTGATGATGATGTCCGCTATCACTGTCAATTGTTAGTAAACACTTCATCTGGCTGGTACCAATCGGGTTTCCGGTACAGATCGGGTAGCGACACTGCTTCTATGGAAAGTTAAAAAAAAAAAAAAAGACTATGTATGCCCCATCCTTGTTTACTTTTTCCCACCGAGGTTTCTAGACTTCTGATTGGCCAACATTTCTACACGGTTAGGAATATATCGCCACCTTCTGCTTTGGCATGTTCATAGCAGCGTTTTCCTTCATTTCTGCGTTTATGTGTGGACGGGATTATTTTTAAAACGAAAATGGAAAATCTCTGTTTTCAAAAATACCCGCGTACGTGTGAGAATCACCAATCGGAGACACAGCAGGACTTCCTGTGAGGAGGTGATGGTGGCTTCTCTCTGTGCTTCTCAGACTGTTGCTGTTTTTACTCGTTAATAAAGTTCCTGTTTGACTTCCTGTAGGTCCGGCCTGTTTTTTTCGCCAGAGTTTCACTTCCTGCTTATCCTTCAGCGTGTTAATGCCGGCTTGTAAACGATAAAGCAGCATTGAAACAGGATGCGAGAACTTACCTGCCTGTAGCAGAGGAGGGGGGTTAACCAGCGCCATCTACTGCTGAACACAAACATGTGGCTTCCCTTCAGAGTGGGATGAATTGATGCCCAGAGTGTAACCCTGATCACAACTATTCTAAAATGTTGTTCACAGGACAAACTTCACAGATTGTCCCAGAGATTAAACCAGTGGTTCCCAAACTTTTTTTGCTGGGCCCCCCTTTGTTTTACAAGAAAAAGTTTGGTTTGGAAACATATTTGGCGATCCTTCCTCTCCTGCTTTGCGTTTGTGTGGGAGCCCCGTAAAAAACCTGTCCATGATGCTAGCAGTGTCCATGCTCGATGGGTGACGTGTCCGGTGAGTCTGCTGGCCGTGCAAGAACTTGGAAGTTTGCAGCTTCCATTGTGTACAGATCCAAACTGCACATGTCAGCCTTTTAGTGTGGGGGGTCTAAGGCACACGTGTGCGGTGGAATGGGTTATCTCAGCGAACGATATGAGAGTAATGAGTCTTTTGTGTTTGTAGAAAATGTTTCAGAACTTAGAGTTCAGCTCTTGAAAAATGGGAGCAAAAACAAAAGTGATGCATTTATATTTTTGCTCAGTGTATCTGCCAAAAGAAGCTTCTTCATTAGTGGAGAAGCCATGAAATAACCATTAATTTTCTACTTCCTTCCTCAGTCTCACTGAGTGAAAAGATAAAAATCCCTCCATGGCAGCTCTTTTGATTTCAGGTGCTCGCAGCAGGAAGCTCGGGTTACATTTAAACAGTGCAACTTTCTGAGGAAGAGGAGGGGTGGAGCTGCCCAGCTTGCCGCGCAGTCCGGAATAATCCTTCCACCCAGAGCGGACAGGTGTGGATGCTCCCTCCTGGCTGATGGAGATCATGTTCTGGACTTTGTGGAGAAGCTTAGACATCAATGTTTTATTGAACCAGCAGGAGAGGACCTAAAGTCCAGTGTCCAATGAGAGACCCGTGTTAGTTATGGTGACACTGCAAATTCTGATATCTAGGTAAATACAGACCATCATCACTGACACACTGTAATCTGAATACTGTGACCTGCTCCTGAATGACCTGCTCTGCTCACAGCCAATCAGATCGGGCGTGTGCCCGTCAGAATCAGACGCCACAGCTCAGAGTGACAGAAAATAAAATTTAATCAACAATTTTTACAAAATGAAACTCGTTTACAAAAACATTTAAACTGCAAACCAATCATGTCATCAGGCCACACCCTCGCAGCTCACAGAGCTCAATCACTGGACGATACTTGGGGGTGTGGCCGCACAGAGACTCTACAACAGGAAGAAACGGTGGCGTGGGGAACCACAGCCAATCGAGACCGGGCAACATGTTTGTATCAAACAAACGGCTGCCGACCTCTGACCTTGGGAACCACACTGAGCATGTGTGACGACCAGCAGGACAGGGCTGGGCTCTGAATTACAGTGTCCAATCAGAGGGCAGCATTGACAACGAGTCACCGGCGTGGGGGTGGGGCCAGCAGCTGCGTCGCAGTGACAGACTCCGGGAACAGGTTGTGGTAGGTGGGCAGGGGCACGTACGCCGCGGTGATCATTTTACCTGGAAGGACAGGTAAGAGTGTGTCAGAGGTGCTCTCTGATTGGCTGACCAATGACACACAGGTCATGTGACGTGGAATCTTACCAGCAAAGAATCTCCCGTGCAGGGCGTTGACGGCAGCCATGGCGGCTGGGATCGAAGGACACTTGACATAGACGTTTCCCTGGAAACAGCAGAGGTCAAAGGTCATCGCAGTGAAAGTAAACAAAACCAAAAGTGAAAGAAACAAAAGTCAGACTTTAGGAACAAACGAAGGTCAGAGTCAGGAAAATAAAAGCTTTGCCCCAACAAACTTCACTCTCTCCACCGCGGCCGCAGCAAGGAGCTCACGACTACCGGCTGAGTCGATAAGGTCAGAGGTAAGAGGTCAGGTTCTTACCTCAGTGGAGTTTTTGTCAACGTAAATGTGAACAATGCCGCCATGTTTGTTACACTCCTCTATGACGTCATGCTGGATGTCCAGCTCCCACCCAGGAGCCTCCTCACTGAAACACACACACACACACACAGGTCAGGTGAGGCCCACAGGTCCTCCTCCTCACCTGTGGACACACGTGGGCCGAGGTATTTACCTGCTGGGGTTAAACATGTTGGACAGCTGGAAGCAGTGCGTCGCCAGCGGCTGAGACGGGAGGTTCAGAGCAGGAGAGTTCATGTTCATGTTGAGAGTCGGGTTCATGGCCGCTGAAAGAATCCGACACTTCACATCAGTGAACAGGAACCAACCAGCAGCCAACAGGTGTGACACGAGTTTCTCGTGTTGCTCCAAATCACGTCAGTCATCTCAAGGAGCTTTAGATGTAAATAATACAGACAAACCCCAATAATCATACGAGACCCTATGAGCATGTTACTATGAGGAAGGAAACTCCAGGCACGTTTTTAGCATCTACATGGATGTTAAAATCACCCACAATAATTATTTTATCTGAGCTCAACTAAATCAGATAAAAGTCTGAGAAATCAGACA